CCAGATTTTTTGGCTCAAATCAAAATGGATGACGAATTGAATTTAAATTTATGAATATTTTCTAAGCTTTATCCAGATACAATAAAAATTGTATATATATATATATATATATAATTTAGTTTTTGATTCGTAATCTATTTTGATTCGAACCGAAAAATTCAAAATTTTAAAGGGCCATGCACGTGAATTTTAAATTGAAAAAAAAAGTATAGTGTGAACACATTTATGAATATAGTGTGAACTCGTCATCATATTTACTATCAAATCTTTGTAAAACTACCACGTGTCCATTATAATGTGAATTTATTTTTAGAAGGTTTCTCTTTAAACATATAAGGGATGTTTTGTTTCATGGTCGTCAACGTAGCTATGATCAATGGTCAAAGTGAAGTCAACATTTTTATTTGTAAGACATTTCGTAATTCGAAGTGAAGTCTAGGCACGTGTAGGAGATTTATCTCTAATAACCACACAAATGATTATACATTGATCATACTAGCTGAAAACTTCCTCGCCATTTAGGTAATATTTGAATTATAACTGGAAAGCTTTGTATGCACAAAGACAAACATAATTAAGCTTTTCATTTGAAAACTTCTCCTCTTTCTCTCTCCTGCCTATCTTCTCTCTTGCGTCTGATCTGCCATAAGTGAAGCTCCAGCGTCCAGTCGCGCCTCAGGGCGCGTGCTGATGCCGGAGGCGTCTCTCTTCTTTCCCTATCTCCATATGTTCTTTGCTTTGTCATGGTCTCGTCTCTCTCTTCGTTTTCTTTGCGGATGTGTGTTGGGGGTTTCACCGGACTCGTATCCGTGCGTAAAGAGGTTTGGTTCCGGTGTAGTTCTGCTCAGTCATGGAGTCTGGAGGCGGTGGGTGTTTGGGGTTCTCGTGGCGGAGTCAGCTTTTTAGGGTTTAGCAATCGGCCCCTTTTGCCATTTGGAGGGTCGGTGGCCCGTGGAGACGAGTGTGCGGTTGGTACTCCAGATCCGGTCTGGAGTCGTGTGTCTGCTCATGTCCGGTTTGTTGCTGAAGCGGCGGTAGTTTGTGGGTCCTTTCGTCTCTTCTTGGCGTCTTGAAGTGTCGAAGCCGTTCATTCTCCGTCTTGGAAGCTTCGGAGACTAAGTCTAGCTCGGTGTCGAGCTCAGCTGTCGACGCCGGCGTGTGTTGGTGTTAGCAGTGGTGGCTCATGGAGTGAAGTGGTGATGCGGTGTCGGAAGGAGTCGTCTATGGTTTCTCCGAGGCATTGGCGCGTCCTCTCTTCCCATCTTCAGGATTCAGGTTCACCGGTGATGTATTGCCAGCTTGTTTCCCGATGTGTTTTAGCTCTTGGTTCATTGTTATGCTGTTCTGTGGCACCGGTTCAGCTTTTAATGACATTTTGATACTCGCACATCGGTTCTCGAATTCGGCGCGTGGCGGGGCTTCGGTGGTTTCAGATTGTCGCCTGTTCTCACCCTCTCCTTGGTGTCTCCTCGCTGAAAATCAGCGCATCCCAGTGCTGTGGGTTCACTTGAATCCTTGGCAGTGTTGTCTGCTATCTCTTATGAAGGTTTAGAGATTTCTCTGGTCCAGAAGTGGCTATCTTTCCGTGCCCGTGTTTTTGCTTCCCGTCATAGGCAGAGGTGATTGTGTGGTCTTCTTTGTTCTAGGCGGCTTTGGTGTTGTAGCGGGTTTTTGCTTCAGGCGATCAGATCTTCTTTGGTAAGTTTCGGTTAGTCTCGGTTCCGCTATATTCGTTATGTGCTTCAGTGATAGTATAGATTGCAAGACTAGTAATTTCATTGGGAACTAGCTACTCCGGAGATGACGTGAGGAGACCCCGGCAGCCAAGGAAACAAGGCGAATCTCTCCTCCTCACGGCCCTCATCTAAGGTTAAGAACGGCAACCGATATTCAGAGATGTAGGATTGTATTTAGTGAAACGCGACGGAATATGGGTTGAGCGAAACTAGATAGGAGATTTCGGATTTGGGTAATTTTGTTCGAGCTGGTCTTGTAATCGAAACTATTATTCCCATTATTTGGGTTGATGTTATAAAATTTAATTCAAAAAAAAACTTTTCATTTGAATTTTCTATTTCATTTATCACTTTACAAAAGTTATCAAATTTTACTTACCATATTGATTACTGCTAAAGCATCATAGATTTTCAATTCAAAAACCCAAATGTAACTAACATGATCATAAATAAGCATTATAGATTTTCACTGAAATGTAAGTGCTAAGGACATCTCTAACCAAACGAGAGACAGACCTACTAAGAAAAGCTTGGTGGCAAATGACACCACAAAAATTCAATAAAAACTTTGGTTTGGGCTTAAATTTATATAAATCGGTAGTTTAGTCGGTTAATTCTACCTAATGAACTACAAAAACCAAAGTTCAATTTCCCTTGACTCCATTTTGATATTTATTTTTTTAACTTAACCAGTATATTGATTCCACTTAAATTTAGGGCTGAGTATGTCACTGAACCCAATTTCATTTTTGACTCCAAAATAGTAAAAGTGAATATAGAATAAAGAACATTCTAATCTAACTACATTTCTGATTTCATAATAGAATTTATTCCATAAAATGAATAATCTTTTGTTTGTTTATTATTTCATTATGGAGTGAAATATAGAATAAGATTGGAATATTCTTTTTCATTCTATTTTGGAAAAAAAAAATGAAATTTTATATTGGAGATGTTCTAAATCATCATAGATGTTTCTTTTATTATTTAATACAAAAACGTAGTAAACTTCTTTCCTTCTTTTTGATAACAAAACTTCAGCACAACAACTACATTTCGAAGTAGTTAAAAACTACATATTTTTGTTTTTAGTTGGTCGGAGAATACTAATCTTTAGCACAACAACAAATGTTGCCATGACCTCTAGGACTAGCTTGGCATAAGCCAATGGTCTCCGGTGGAAACTCAGGCGGTCCACACTGACTCTTACAGTCACTGTTGCTCACACACGAACCTTTGTAGACACACTGTGAATAAGCATTCTCTCGTACATCTATCAATTCACCAACATTAAACAAAAATTTCAAAAAAATGAAAAGAGAAATTTCCAAATATATAATTCATAATTATAGATAATATTATAATATTTTTTTTAAAAAAAACGTATCACCTTTTGACTGGGACGTAACTAGGAGAGAACATAAGACGAAGACGACTACAAATTGAAGCTTTGATAATGCCATTTTATTGGTATAATGTAAATTTCTTTGACTAGTGGTCTTTTTTTCTTTGTTAGTGTTATGGAGAAAGTAAAGAACAAGAATATGCGTATTAATAGAGTAACTGATCAGGTCTATCTTTATTGTTTATTGCGTTGAGATATATTGAGATTGGTGAAATCTTTGTAAAGGTGATACAAATCTTCCTTTTCAAAAGAAAATATTGTATATAAGGTCAATTTGCAAGGAAAAAATATTTAATTGATTCGGTATGATAGTAACTTTTTCTGAAAATGGAAAATTATGTTATAAAATCAGACCTTATCTAAGATTTATTCAGTCTTACAAAATCTTAGATTACATGACGTTTGAGAGATTCAAATATAATATAAAGAAATTAATAGTGTAAGTAAGAAGGAACCAAATCCCCTCACAAATAGCAATGAACAGAGCTCTTGAATACATTTTACAAAATATTACATTCGCTCTGTTTCAAATTTATGATGTTTTAACAAAACATGAAGATAAAAAATAATTGATTTCTCTTTTTTTTGTCATCAAATAAATTTTTAAAAACTATTACAAAACATAAATTTAAAATAACTTAATCTCTTATAATATAAATGGTAAAATACCATTGATTACATGTTAAAATTTATTTAAATGTGAAACTATTAGATGTTTTGAAATATCGAAATTGTTTAAAACATAACAAGTAACTAGATTTTGACTCGCACTCCCTCGCCGATGTTTATTTTCACTTTTGTATACATTTATTTTATATGCATCAATGGTCAAAAACATAAATCTAAGACTATAAATCTAAGACTATAAAACATTTGTATATAATTAGCTTTAGGCAAATTTCAGCCAATGTGCATAACAACATAAATCTAAGACTATAAAACATTTGTATATAATCAGTCTTCAACTATAGAAACTCACTAATATATACGAATTATAGAAACTCACTAACTTTTCATGGATGTTGTTGTATCACAACTCTTATCATCTATGAATTCTCCATACATCAAACTTTTTGTTTAGCAATAAAATAATATTCTTTTTTATCAAAATAAAATAAAATTCTAGAAATTAAACTCAAGTGTTGTTAAACAAGGATCATATACGAGTTATAAGGTACATTACTAAACAAGGATAATTGCTGATATTGAATTTTTCTTATCATCGGGTACACTGCATACTGTTATTAACTTATTATCCAACAATACATATAAATCAGCTAGTATGCAGCAATACATTTAAATCATCTTGTAAACTTTTATGTTTTGGAGTTATTATGTGCTACTTTCTCTACTCTTTGTAGAAATTATAAATGAGAACCTCACCTGACAAGATAACATCAACCAGACTTACAGTTCTCGGAGAAAATACAGATCTATGTTGTTATCTCTTAGCAAAATCTCTTCTATAGCTAAAAAATCATCCAAAAAAGGAAAATTGCAGAAGCTTGATTATGAAAAAAATGAGGAACCTTGGAAGATTCAAGACGACGTTAAAAGTATTTTTTTCTTTGAGTTAGCAATATATTAGTATTCAGAAGATGTTATAAGATCTGAGACGTATAACGTGTTCTTAAAACATATTAAAGTGAGATCATAATAATCCACTGGTAGCAGCTTACTAACGCAGTATCTTCTCAAGGTAAAGGCTCTTTCGGTATCTTAGTTTCCCGACAAGTGATTATTATACATTGAAACTCTTTCGTGTGTGTGTGTGTGTTTGCAGCAAGGTGGGATGATAAAAGAGACGTGGATGGAGGAAGATACAAGAGAAGCGATATTGAAATACGCAGAGGTTGCTGTCAGGCTTGAAGCACTTGACAATGCACAATATGACTTTTCACAGCTCTTCCTGCTATACTCGACCATATATTACTGAGAACGCTCTTAGACTGTCCTTTCACCGCAATGTTCTCCCATATCCGAGTGTTGTTCTTATCATGATTCAAAACATCAACCAGACTCATGCTCATGTCATTCCTAATTATACAAAGCTTATTATTCAAAGGAACAAGAGCCGCAGCTTCAATCCCCCTCGAGTTCCCCAAGTGAACTTTACCATCAATAAATATATTCCACGAACCCGTAGCTTCATCAAACACCCTGAGCTTACACCCATCTCTACAATCCAACTCATAAAGACGACCGTCTAAAACAGCACATGGGTTTCTCCAACCAGTAACCATCTCATCACTAACCAAGCTCCATGAGTTACTCTCAGGGTCATAAGCTTCACTCATAACCTGTTGGTGAGGAGACCCAAGACCCTTGAGAAACCATTTTTTATCATAAACCACACCGACAAGAGGCACCATTGCTGTACTCATATCAGCAACAAAACTCCACCTGCTCTTGTTAGGATCATAAACCTCAGCTGAGCGTAGCCTCCTGTGAATCCCTTCACACTCCCCACCAGCTACATACAAGCAGTTGTTAATGACACAAGAAGCAAACAAATGTCGTTTCCTAAGCATATCAGGCGCTCTATGCCATTTATTCGTCTTGGCATTGTAGAAAACAACCTTCTTCATTGATCCTCTCAACGGATCTTTACCTCCAAACAAGTAAAGATGACAACCGCTTAAAACAGCACAACCGAACCCAACAGCTTCAGAGTACTCTCTAGGAAGAGGTGGAAGAGGGTGTGGATGGTGAGAGACAAGATCAAAAGTGGTCCAAGAGATCTTTCCATCACGGTCTTTTTTGAAAACGTAAACCCATTCTTCAGACATCCCAATTAGCTTCCTTTCCGAGTAATAAAAGTTGCCAGAAGCAAGCCTGTACCAGCTCTTACAGACAAGCCTGAGTTTCCTATGTTCTGCACGTGGGACACGGATGAGACAAGCGATGGCTAGGTCGTCAGGGAGGCCAGGGAGGAGAGGAGGTTGGATTCTTGTTCTTTCTTGCTTAGGGTTGTTCTTGCTGCGACGGTGAGCATTGGGGTTGATGTTAGGTTGGATACAGAGCTTTGAGCCAGGAACGAACTTTCTTGCTTCTACAACGGTCTTGAGACTTGAATCTACTCTGCAGTAGCAAGAAACAGAGTCCACCTGAAAAGATTCCAATCTCAGAGATTCAAAAGTAGCAAACTAGAAGTAAAAAAACTTTGTGAGGAAAGAGTACTCTGGTGGTTTTAGCTATGGTTTCTAAAAAAGGAAAGAACTTTGAAGTGAGTTGAAAGCAGAGCCATAGTCAGAACAAGTCCAAATAGAAAGGGAGCCTTACCAATGGAGCTTGAAGCCGAACACCTGTTGACACATTTGGGGATTGTCGTTGAGAAGAGAGATCCATCTTCTTCTTCTTCGGAACCCAAAGCTCATAAGAGAGACAGAGATCCTTGATAATTCGATGAAGAATAAAGCTAATGGTCTCTCTCTCCTGAACAAGTCAAAAGTAAAGCATATGTATATTACTACTTTGTTAATGTATAGAGTTTTTGTATTATTAATTATGGTAATTACAGAATCTATATGTTTTTGTTGAATGAATGATTAAAATATTCTATCGTTTGAAATTGATAGTGATACTGAATAGTCAAAAAGGTACAAGATTTGTTGTAGTTTAAGTCAACCATGTGCATGTTTAAAAACATTTTTTTGTGCACTTGTGTAAAAACATTTCTGTGAATATAATGTAAACTTTATTTATACATAGAAAGGTTCTAGGATCATTATGTTTATAAATTATGTAAAAAATATAATGTAAATTTGATTTATACATATTTTACTATAATAAATCACACTTATCAACGTATGTTTGGACAATACAGTATATATACCGTAGAATTATACGTCAGTTTGTATAGGATACGGGAAGATTTTGTTATATGGGATGGATCATAAGACGCTGGTGTTTATAATACTTATTACCAACAATAAATTAGGTTTAGAATACATACAAAACAATGACTATCCACATTAATAATTGACATTTAAATGATAATTTGGAGTTAACTGTATGTATTCGAGGCTATATACTATGTGCATGCAAATAGTGAAACAAAACATACAGACAGGATATCATTGATCACATATAAAGATAAGTTTCACACACCACGTGGTACTGGGGGCTTGCCCTTCTTTTTGTTTGTAACAGTGACATCTCACTGAACCTTAGAGAAAACAAACTGATTTGGTATGCCATACACTTTCCTTTGCCATTGATAATATACATTCCTAAGAAAAATCTCAAGAAAGTCGGTCAAAAGTCAATAATAATACATAAATTGTATAAGAACCAAACTATGTTTTAGTGAATCTATACCAACTTAAATTATACATTTTGCTAGTTATGAAAACAAAAAACAAGAGAGAAACCTATTCGAACTGTATAGTTATTAGGGAGAATTTGCCACATAACCAAATTGACAAGGAAAATTAAGTACATAACAATGATTTTGACGTAATGTAAAATCTAGCATTTGTGCCAATAATTATTCGATTTTACCATTTCTTCTTGTAATTATCAGATAGTTATGTATTGAATGGGATGACTGTTTTACATGAATGAAGAAGAGGCAACCACATCACCATGTTATTTACCAAAAATATTTGTATAACAAGTAGTAAACCAGTGGTGTAAAATATGAACTTGTTGAAATGAATGGTTTATTTCCATTTACTAAATCTACGAATTCAATTGCAGAGAACAACACAATGAGTAAGTAAAAAAAAATCCGGTTTCATATTATCAAAGTAGTATAGGAGATTAACTCCCTTTCAGTCTCTAAATACTAAACCATGTCTCACCCTCGCCTCCAACCCTTAAATACTAAATCTTAACATCAAATAGAATTAAACAAAATAATAAACATAGTATGGAATAATGAATTAATAGATAAATAAATAGTATAAACTCTTATAATAGTTTAGTCACCACTAATCTTTCGTATAGTTTTTACTAGTTCACAGTATTCAATAAATTTTAGTCATGTTTGAATTTCAATAATATAACCGTAATATGTTATCATTCCTACATGTTTAGTTTTAATTAATAAGTATACATCAATTGTTTCATAAAAATGATACAACAACAAAACATAAGGGCATGTTCAAAGGGGGCACACTAAAGAGTGTGCTTAGGATTAAAATATTAGTAAAATAATGTATTTTGTTTAAGAACATGGGGAATACTCAAAGGGAGAGAGAGAGCTTTTGATGGCATATGGCATAAGCACATGTTTTCGTTTTAATTTTCGGCCAATACAGGCTTGACACGTCCACCAGCACATGACATAAGCACTGATCTTCTTGTAGACCTCCCAAACTGATCTCGGCTCCTTTTTGAATTAAATCACATTTTTTAAAGCCCAAGCATATGTTGTGTGCTCCCCCTTTGAACATGACCTAACAAATATTTATTTACTGTACATCTACATTTATATTCTATTTTCACAATTTAGAATTGAACAATACAAATAGTATATCGCAACTGAATGACTACTGGGTGGAGTTAATAGAATAGTGGAAGAGAAGACTGAAGAAGCAAATGAGATTATCTGATTTGTAGAAGAACTAGTGCTCGAGTTGATGAAGTAGGAGAAAAAACCACCATGGAAGACGTAGGAGAAGAAGAAACGGTGAGAGAAAGTGAAGAGACATAGATAGAAACAGTGGTGGAAAAAATATAATGGCTGGATGAAAGAACTGGTTGTGGTGCTAATTTTACAGATAGGATAATAACAATCATAATAGATGTTGTATTTCATTTCTATTCTATGTGTGCATAATAGTACATATAATCATACCTAACTTCCTTTTTGCTATTGACTTTGTATTTTTCTTGTATGAAAAGAGGAAGTCACACCTGAGCTAAGCAAGGTGGACCAAATTTATACGTTGATTGCAGCCCACAATCTCACAGAAGCCTAACACAGAAGGTAACTTTTGTCAAGCAATCCAAGTGCAAAGCTAGCTTCTTTGAAACTTACAAACCGAGAGATCAAAGTTGATTGACTGTCAGTGGTGCAGAAGACTCTGGTTTTGGATAGTAGTCACTTGCCACCTTTCTCCAGCTAGAATTATGGGATCCACATTTGTATTTATATGTTGACCAATGACCATTGACTTCTAACATTCAATTAATTGATCCGCCTAGTAAGCTATCTATCTTGTTCAGAATTATATAGATTGTGAACCACACAATGTAAACTTCCACATGTGAAAAGTCAAGCAATGTGACTTTAACTCATCGTGTTTTGCTTTATACTAGCCTATATATATATATTATTAAGTTCGTTGGCTGCAAAACCAGATCACACATGCCAAGTTTCTTCTTTTTGTTTTTTATCAAATCTTTTATTTTCCAAAATGGTGAAACCATGTTTCCATGTTTCTTCCATCTCCACTTTCTTATGGTGTCTCTTTCTCTCAAGCTTCTTTATCAACACTCTTGTTTCTCAATCATTTCCTCGTCAGGACCAAATCGAGCTCCTTCTGGCTTTTAAGAACGAGTTTCCTGTCCTCAAATGCGACCTCAATAAGTCTACTTTCTCAGAACCAAAGACAAAAGCTTGGACCAGAAAAGATGTTAACTCCTTTCGTGGGGTTGTATTTGATTACAAGACTGGTGTAGTGACAGAACTACTCCTAAGTGGTGCATGCCTCAGAGGCAATCTCAATGCTAATAGTAGCCTTTTCAAATTCCACCACCTCAGGTACCTTGATCTCTCTTTCAACTACTTTGACTCCTTCTCGTTCCTCCCCCAACTTGGCAATCTCAAAAACTTAGAGTCTTTGTTTCTTTTCAATATGGGCTTAGCTGGAGAAATTCCATCCTCATTTAGTAGCCTAAACCGTTTAACGGACTTGCGCCTTTCAGATAACGAGCTTACCGGCAGTTTTTCACCTCTACTCAATCTATCAAAGCTCTCTCATTTAGATCTCTCAAATAATCTCTTTTCTGGAAACGTTCCTTGTTCTCTACTCACCATGCCTTTACTGTCAGATCTTTTTTTGAGACAAAACCATCTCATCGACTCTCTTGAAACTATGAATTGCTCTTCATCATCTAAACTTGAAGGATTAGAACTTGGCGAAAACCGTTTCAGTGGTCGAATCCTGGAGCCTCTCTCAAAATTATCCAACCTCGCGTACCTGGACCTATCTTTTCAGAACACAGGCTATCCAATCAACTCCGTCTCCTCCTTGGGATTCAAGTCTCTATTGTCATTGGATCTTTCCGGAACTGCTATATCAAGGATTAATATCAGTTCACCAAATTTGAACACATTATACTTGAATAACTGTAGCATCAACGAGTTCCCCACATTTATTAAAAACCTACAGAACCTGCAATATTTGTCTTTATCGTACAATGGACTCAAAGGAGAAGTGCCTAAATGGTTATGGAATATGCCTTCTTTGCGTGAATTGTTATTGTCTCACAACTCTCTCGATAGCTTTGAAGGCTCACCAACAAAAATGGCTCTCAATTCGTCGCTTAACATATTAGACCTGAGGTCAAACGCGTTTCAAGGATATCTTCCTATTGTTTCACCAGTCGTGCTTGCATCAAATAATAGTTTCACAGGAGACATACCTCTTTCACTGTGCAATCAAAGCCACATGCTTCTCCTTGATCTAGCGCACAACAGCTTCAGTGGTTCAATTCCAGGATGCTTGATTCATTCTTCAGTAGAAAATCTAGATCTCCGAAACAACAACCTCAGTGGTAGACTTCCCGACGTATTCAACAAAGGTGGTTCACTAAGTGTACTTGACATTAGCCACAATCAAATAACTGGGAAGCTTCCAAGGTCTCTTTCAAATTGCACAAACCTAGAGGTTTTAAACGTGGAGAGCAATAGAATCGCTGACACCTTTCCTTTTTGGCTCAAGGATCTACCGTACTTACAAGTCATGGTCCTACGATCAAACATGTTCCATGGTCCTATATATTCACCTCAACATCCTCTATCATTTCCACAACTGCAGATGGTGGACATATCCCGTAATAAATTCACAGGAAGACTACCACATGATTACTTTGTAAATTGGAGTACACCCTTGATTAGTAATCCCAAGGAAGAAGAAGGAATGCCATTGTACCTAGGAGCTTTTCTCCAGTTTGATTATCACCCTTCCATGTATTTGAGAAACAAAGGAATAGACATGGAGCTTGAAAAGATCCTTCAGACCTACACAGCCATTGACTTCTCTGACAACCAATTTGAAGGACAGATTCCAGAATCTATAGGCCTTTTGAAGTCGCTCATTGTTCTCAACCTATCCAACAATGATTTCACTGGTCATATTCCATCCTCTTGGGCTAATCTCACAAGGCTGGAGTCACTAGACCTATCTCGGAACCAACTCTCTGGAAAAATCCCGCAGGAGCTAGCGACCCTCTCGTTCTTGGAGTACATTGACGTTTCACATAATAAACTCACGGGTCCAATACCACAGGGCACACAAATTGGAGGACAGCCTAAATCATCTTTTGAATGGAATCTTAATCTTTGTGGTCCTCCTCTTGAGGAGAGTTGTTTCAGGGACAATGTACCATCAACACCAATGGCACAAGCACCAGAATCTCCAGAGCAAGAACAAGTTTTGAATTGGAAAGCAGCAGCTATGGGATATGGCCCTGGAGTCTTGTTTGGACTAACGATTGGACAAGTACTTTATTTGTACAAACCGGTGTTGTTCTTCAAGTTGTTTCGTCTTTGAAAAGAAGTTGTTTAATTTGGTATTCTTGAAATAATGTAAAAGTTTTTGTTACTGTTCCGACATAGAGATGTATGAGTATCGATAAGTTATGTATTATCTCATGCAAGTGGTAAACATAGTGGCAAAAACTCTTGACATACACTAACTATCCTCGCTAGGTTCGTTTCTTCAAACGTTTACAGACAAAACCTTTCACATAGAATCATCAGAATCTTCTGATTCACTTCTCTCTTGCTCAACTTCTGCTGGATTATTGTTATTATTAGCCCCTGTCTCAGGAGCTTCTTCTTCAGGCTTTTCAACAGGTGTAGCAGGTGAAGAAGTAGAAGAGACTTTCTTATTTGTATTCTCATTCGCAACTGTTTCCTCTTGCTGCTGCTCATTTCCCTACACACACACACACACACCCCACAAGAGCTCAGCTAAAATAAATTGGAACTACCTTGTATATTGAAATCGAATTCAATTAACCAATCATCAGACTTTAAAACACACAAAATTTACGTTTTCGATTGTTCTGCCACTCAAGATATTCAGCAAGTCCCTCTCAACGCGCTGTACAAGCTCCGGCTGCAACGTTGTGACATTCAATATTGTTAATTCAAAAAAGAAAAAAGAAACCATCTAGTAATGACCGAACATGTGTTAAACAAATGAAAATTTACATTAAGGTCAGGCTCTCGACGGAATCTTCTCTTACGAGCATCCTTCATTGGAGGAGTAAGACCATGTCTGTATTCAACTGTATTAGGCGCAGGATCACCTGCCTCCCTAACCATGATCATCTGAGAAATGGGCCAAATCATAGCAATCATTATACAGCTTTTTAGTCAAACAGTAAACTAAACACATATAAGTAGTAGTTTTGAATCTATCATTAGTCAACAAGTAAAATTGATTTTTACCTGCCCAATATCAGCAGTTTTGACTAATGCACAATCATCATAAGTTTTATAGGACTCAACAACAGCAGGAAGATCCAGCAGCGAAGCTGGGAACTCTTCGTTTCCAATCACAAACGTCCCGCTTCTCCCATCCTCTGCAAACACACAAAACGCAAAATTCAAGCAAACCCTAAAAATGGAGTCTGATCCATAGAAAACGCTAAATATATATATATATCTACGCAGTTTCAAGAATGGCTTTCAGGCTTGTCTCATAGAACATTAGCTTTACACAAACCACAATATCAAAGTTTCTTCAGAAGATATCATACTATTAGATTTATTTTCTAGGACACACTTCAACTAACTCTTGGAACAGATTCAAGAATGTCTTTTGGGATTCTCTATGCAACACTCAAGAACGTATCAGACACAATTTTTATGTGAGAAAGATGAAACTTTAGACAATGTTAACTTGATCTCTTAGGCAGATTCAATCATGATGCCACCACAACCACAAGAATGTCTTTCAGGCTTCTCTGAGAAAACATTGAGTTTACACAAACCACAATTCAAATTTCCTTTCCAGAGATACAATTAGATTGGTTTGCTAGACACAACACTTCAACTCTTGAAACAGATTCAAGAATGTCTTTCAGGGTTCTCTATGAGACAATAGAGAACGTATCACAGACATAAGCTTTCTATATAAAAAAAAGACGCGACTTTGGAGGATCAAACCCAATTTAATGTGTTAAAAGAGACAAAACCGAACCTGAGAAGCACAAATCTAAAGGGATCTCGTCGGAAGTAGAAGCCTCGTCGCTCAAAAGGCGATCGATTCGCTCTGAAACAGAGGGTGGAACCCTAAGTATGAACTGTTCCTCCATCTTTACCAACGGCTTGGCCTTTGACGAGAGAAGAATCTAATTGAACCCACCGAAGTCTATATCTTTGTTATGTAAGAGAATCAGAATACTCTTCTGTTATTTATACTTTTCCCATGTAAGTTTCAAGATTTTAATTTCTCACCCAAATAATTTCTTCTGCTTAGAGAAAAACCACTAATATGCTATTTATATCACAAATTTCCTCCTCTAGATATTTTTATAATCACATTATGAGAAATTTCTTATACATGGAAACAATGAAATAAATATTCCGTTAACAAGTAATTCTTTATAATATCGTTAAATTCATTTTTTATATCTTACTTTCTCAGTAAATAATACATATACTTATTTTTTCTGCAAATTCTTGAAATTAACTTTAGAAAAACTATAGTATTTATTAATCAAACTTTTGTTTGTTTTCCAAAAGAGAATATTATTAACCATAAACTTTTGAAGGTTAATTTACGGAAACTAGAAACCCAAATTAAATCTTTGAGGGTATATTTAATAAAATGGGAGTTGTGAGATTAAAAACAGTATTTTAATAGGTTCTGGGGGTTAAAATGTAAACATATATTTATATATATAACCCTAATTCAGACAGCAAAGCTTTCCCACATTGTCCTATCGCCGCCGTTCATCACCAGCGACCTTCGTTCTCCTGTAAGTCTTTTCTCGTCTTCCCACCGTATATTCCATTCCCCTCGAATACTCAGGCCATAATTTCTTCATCCTGTACACGCCTCCGTAGTAGATCGGGTCCATTTGTTTGTCGGTAGATTGTTGTAAAGTCTGTATTTTTTTAAGGATTGAATTGCACCGTAGACGAAAGTTTTTGCCTTTTGTATGTCCATGCACATATAAATTTTCTTTACGAGAAACTATAGTTTGGAATTTGAGCTGATTCTGTCTATATCTGAAAATTGTTTGCGATCTCATTTAGTCTTGATCTCTTTGAGACAGTTTAGTGTCTTTTTTTTTTTGAATTGGACCAAAGATGATCTTTTTAAAGCCAGCGAGTTGTAACATCATTAGTTTTCTATGTGATGCTCCTTTAGGTTGCAACTTGCAAGAGTCTGTTTATGCTGTTAAGGGGTTGTAGTTTGGTAATTCGGAGCCTGATTAAATACTTTTTTTTGAACTTCTCTCAGATGATAAGTGTCATAAAGCTTTTGCCTTTGTGGTGTCTTGTTTCTTAAACGACCAGCCATTTCTGGGTTTTTTTTGCCTTACCTGGTTTGTGTGTTGATTGACTGATAGAGAGGTTGAAAGCTTGCTACAATGAGGGGAAGGAGCTACACTCCGTCACCACCAAGGGGTTATGGGAAGAGGGGTCGATCCCCAAGCCCTAGAGGAGGAGGAGGCCGATATGGTGGAGGTCGCAGCAGGGACCTCCCCACCAGTCTTTTGGTCCGCAATCTACGCCATGATTGCAGGTGCATATACTTGACTTCTCTAGAACTCTCGTCCTGCTTATGACAATATAATTGTTTGGATACCTTTTAAGCATATGTAGACATAATTATTGATTGGTTATCTATGTCCTCAAAGCTATCTTGATAATTTAGTTTAGGGTCCATTGTTCATGAAAACTCTAGTTCTTTGTATTGTTGACACTGACACCAATCTGTATTCTTTTTATTTATTTTTTTACTTTTAGCAAATTTAATTTCTCTTCTTACGTCTTATCTTATTCTTCAGGCAAGATGATCTCAAGAGGTCATTTGAACAGTTCGGCCCTCTCAAGGACATTTACTTGCCAAGGGACTATTATACTGGGTGAGCATACTAGTCCTCTATCTACTGTTTAAACACCTGATTTTACTTTGTTCTATTTAGATAAAATCCTTCTTTTTTTACATCCTCTTTACGACCTTTCGTGAATCTCTGTTTACTATGTTTAGTTCCTTTTCCAGTTCCTTGTGTCTACTCATGGATACAAGGCCTTATGAGAATCTTTTAATATAGGCTTTTTTGTAAACTAAAATTAGGTTCCATTTTTTCATAGTTTTCTGTGTGTGAGGTCTTCATTTTACTTTGAAGCCACTAGTTTTAGGTATCACTAGAAGAAAAGAGCGTCAGATTGAATTAAGTACCTGTTGAGACTTCATACTTATTAATTCCTTAAGGATAAGGATACAATGTTGATATGTTCAACGAGTGTGAACACACTATGAGTGTGGTTAATTGAGTTGTTGAGGTTTAACAGTGAATCTAAAGAATTGAAGACATCAAAGAAGTAAGTAGAGTTCTTATGAAGATGTTCTATATGTAGTGAAGAGTTGAAGTGAAGTTGAGTTTGTATTCAGTATGAGGATGAATCAAGTCTTCAAGAAGACATCTTTATACTGAAACTTTGCGAGATTAGCAGGCAAGTGCTTGCTTATTTCACGTTTATCTTGCGATATCTTTTGTTGCAGGGGACCATACCGCCAAAGGCTTGTTGTAAAGTGGTGCATCTTCGTCTTCATTTTTGTATGTTTGGTTCCTGATCTGAGATCCTGTTTTGTTTTGTTTTATAATGCAGGAATCCGCGAGGGTTTGGTTTTGTTCAGTTTGTGGATCCTGCTGACGCTGCTGAGGCGAAATATCACATGGATGGTTATGTTCTTCATGGCCGTGAGCTGACTGTTGTGTTTGCAGAAGAGAACAGGAAGAAACCTACTGAAATGAGAGCTAGGGAGCGTGGAGTAAGGTGGCTGGAGCTTTCTCTTTTTGAACTTTTCTTTTTATCATAAATATTGGTAAGTCCTCAATACAGTGAGATCTTTAATACTCATTTGTGTCTGTAGGAGGCGTAGCCCCCCTAGGTATTCTCGTTCTCCTCCCCGTCGACGTGGTAGATCTCGGTCAAGGAGTGGTGATTATTATTCTCCTCCCCGAAGGCATCACCCAAGGTTTCTATCTAAACTCCATTACACATGTCTGTGTGGTCTACATGTTCTATCTGTGCTGACCATCTCTTTATTGTCTCAGGTCTATCTCTCCCAGGGAAGAACGATATGATAGAGGGAGATCATACTCGCGTTCACCAGCTTACAATGGCTCAAGGGGTCGCAGTGTTAGTCGAGCCAGAGGTAAGAGCCGCAGCATAAGCCGTAGCCCAAGAAGAGGTATTAGCCCGAGTCCAAGAAGAAGCATAAGCCGTAGCCCGAGTCCAAGAAGAAGCATAAGCCGTAGCCCGAGTCCAAGAAGAAGCATAAGCCGTAGCCGTAGCCCGAGGGGAAACAGTAGCCCGAGTCCCAGGAGAAACATAAGCCGTAGCCCGAGAGGAAACAGGAGTCTGACCCCTAGGAGAAGCAGGAGTTACACACCTGAACAGGCCAGAAGCCGCAGCCCACGTGGGGAGCAATACGAAGACCGTTCACCAAGCCAGTGATTGATTCTTCATTCTTTCCATATCCATCTCTATGTTATGATTGTCTCTCTTTTTCGTATCCTAAGACTGTTATTTATGATTTGAAAAAGATGAGTTCTATGTAGGGTCGAAACTTGGCTTTTTTATGTCTTGAGGGCTGAATATTTTAATGGTTTGATGATCTTGAGTCTTATGGGAACCTGCTAGTGTTACTGTGTCTTCTTTAAGATTAAGTCTGGAGTTATTATGACGTTAGGACTATCTGGACAATGTGTTAGTTTGAATCAGAATCTCAGGTTTGGGAGCTTTAGTTCTTACATTCTGGCTCAGTTACCAACTTGTATCCCTGTTAAGGTCGTGAGATTTTGCAGGAGACTCGTATCTACCATTGCGATGTTGATGCTGGAAGGGAATCCATGTCTGAATATTTTAAGAGACGTTTGGAGTCGAGAACTTACTAGTACAACGTTCTACGCCATCAGATTCATTATCTTCACCGAACCTGCCCTATGTAAGGGCCTAAGAAAATATGTCTATATGCAAAAGACAATGAGTTTTGACCAGATATTAAATCATCTGTAATTTGTGTTTTTTCTGTAAACATTCTAAGTTATTACTATTGTATATCTGATTCTCCGTAATCTCATTCTTCACATTATTATTCAGCTTTAACTGAGCAAAGCATGAGGTGCTAGCTAAAGAATATACATAGTGGGAAGGGCCAAGATAGGTAGGTAGGTTTGGTTTCTTTGGACTCAAGAACTCAGTAGAGAGACAAAGACTGTTGTCCGAATCTAACTGAGTAGTTGGGTTTGTTCATGAAGATAAGACCTATTTATCTTTTGTTTCTTCAAGTAGACTTTCTCATAAACAGTGACACAATTAAGCAGTTGGAGCTTTCTTGTCCACGAGATCTACCTACCTACCAGGCTACCACCAGCTTTTAAGTATCAAAAGGCGTTGACTTGTATGAAGAGATAGACAAAAGAGATGTGGAAGAGCATAGGAGAATTGAGTAGCGAGGACTATGTGAAAGCTGGATTGTGTTTGGAAGACGCTAAGGGATTTGAAAAATTGGTAAGAGATGTGATTTCAAGGACTAAAGGGATTGACCCAAGAGATCAGTGGAAGGCTTTGGTGGATGAGAGTGTGCTTAAACCATGGCATCCTCATCCTCTTCATCAGCTTCTTTATTACTCTATCTATTCAAACTGGGATTCCTCTACTCATGGCCCTCCTCTCTATTGGTTCCCTTCTCCGTACGTCTCTCTCTCTCTCTTTCAAATGAACTTTATTTGAATTTCTTAAATTTATCTGTAAGGTAAACCTGCTTGTCTGAGTTGCTGAGTTTCTGCCTGTTTCTTCATTCCATGTATTTAGATCTCTTTCAAAATCCACAAACTTAGGAAGGCTAATGGAAACTCACGGGTCAAGGCTTCTTGGTGCTTCATATAAAAACCCTCTAGAAAGTTTTGATGTTTTCAGGAGATTCTCAGTTGAACACCCGGAAGTAAGGCAGTGACGTTGAATATTAAAAACAAGAAAAGTCTCTTTGTGGAACCCCTCTGCTTTGGTCTAACTCTATGGGGATTTTTCCAGGTTTATTGGTCTATTGTTATCAATGAGCTTTCCCTTAAGTTTCACACCCCACCGAGATGCATCCTTGACAAATCAAAACCTGGAGGGACATGGCTTCCTGATGCAGTTGTCAACATCGCTGAATGTTGTCTGATGCCTTCAAGCCATCCCAAAAGGGAAGATGATAGTTTGGCTGTTGTGTGGCGAGATGAAGGCTTTGATAATTCTCCAGTCAATCAAATGACATTCAAAGAACTCCGCGAGCGAGTAATGTAAGTATCATGAATGCCTTTATCGATCATCTGTTCTATTCCCTTGATTTTTTTGACACATATACTTCAGGTTGGTGGCAAATGCGATAAGTAGAAGTTTTGCAAAGGGTGACACGATTGCAATCGATATGACAATGACAGTCGATGCAGTGATTATATATCTCGCAATCATATTAGCTGGTTGTGTTGTTGTCTCCATCGCAGACAGCTTTGCAGCTAAAGAAATTGCAACAAGGTTGAAAATCTCAAAGGCAAAAGGCATTTTCACTCAGGTTTGTAATACAGTCCTGACTCACATTTCTTCGCATTATATTATCAGCTTAACATATCTAATATAATATGAATCATTTCATATACTTTTCTCAGGATTATATACTCAGAGGAGGTCGGAGATTTCCTTTATACAGGTGACAAAAACATATCCTTCCATGTCTGATCTTAAAACTCCATGAACCAACAACATAAACTAAACTGAAACTTGTCTGTGCAGTCGGGTGGTTGAAGCTGGTCCATCAAAGATCATTGTCCTTCCCTCTTCAGGGACTGAACTGCGTGTTCAGTTAAGAGATCAGGACATACCGTGGAAGGATTTTCTGTCCAAAGTGAGGTAAATGTTTTGTTTCCATCTCTACATTTGCAATCACTTAAAGAGTGTTGATAAGAATATGGCTCCTATTTGTCTTGCAGTGTAGAGAACTCCTTTCGCCCCATCCATCAACCTGTAAACTCTGTGATTAATATTCTCTTCTCATCTGGAACTACAGGTAAAAAAAAATGTAAACTGTAATAGATATTTTTGGAGCATCTATTGATCAGTTTGTTATTTTTTCTAAGCTAGGTGAACCGAAAGCTATACCTTGGACACAACTCTCGCCAATTCGTAGTGCTTGTGATGGATGGGCTCATCTTGATGTCCAAGTGGGTAACACATATTGTTGGCCTACGAATCTTGGATGGGTAATGGGACCAACTCTTATATTCTCTTGCTTCCTAACCGGTACAACGCTTGCACTCTATCACGGGTCTCCCTTAGGTCGTGGGTTTGGAAAGTTTGTTCAGGCAAGACAACCTTCATTGCTGTCTCCTTTGTAAGATTTGATCAAACCTTACACTTAACTGTGCTTCATGTTACTTCAGGATGCTGGAGTTACGGTTCTTGGTACTGTTCCAAGCTTGGTGAAAACTTGGAAGAGGACAAACTGTATGGAAGGCCTTAATTGGACAAAGATAAAGTAACGAACAACAAAACTGTGACCTATTTGTTATTTTGAGAAGTTTTGACTCAGATGTTGTGTTTTGTGTGTTTGTTAGATATTTCGCTACTACAGGAGAAGCTTCCAATGTTGATGATGTTCTCTGGCTTTCTTCTAAAGCTTATTACAAACCTGTGATTGAATGCTGTGGAGGCACGGAACTTGCTTCTTCCTACATCATTGGAAGCCCGCTTCAACCTCAGGCTTTTGGAGCGTTTAGCACACCATCCATGACTACTAGAATCATCATCTTTGATGAAAACGGCGTCCCTTATGTAACAAACTGATACTTCTGACATGTCTGCGACTTTTGTCTTAAGGGTTCTACAGAGATTTGATAGAGACTGTTTTTTTTCTTCTTTTTTTTTTTTTTTTTTTTTGCAGCCGGAT